TAACTACAAAAACGAATATTGAAACTTATTTCTGCTGATATAATGATTTACGCATGTAATGTATGTAATGCAGCGTTTCTACAGTATAATTGCTTTGTACCATCCACTAGTCAAGATCTTGACAAGATCCACAAGATCTCGACCATTTGCTAATGAGAAGAAAAACAGTTATACCGAGTCCACAGTATACATAATTATATATTATTTACATTTCGAAAGAAAACTAACACTCGACGACGTGCGGACGTAATATTACATATATAGATGTACTCTGCGGGCGTGGTGTATATTATATATACGAATATGTATCAAATTATATTATAATATCAATAAAAAACATAATCGATGTGGTCCGACGTGGTGTGTGTTTGCTCGAAAAATGAACGCTCAAAAATCGTTTTGAAGTCTTAATACATATATATACATTTGAAATACTTAGGCCAGTGTTTATTAATATTTGTTAATCTCGATCGTATATTCAATTTCCAATAAGTATACATAATTTTGGCTTCGTTTCTCGATAAATATAATAATATGCGTATGCTTATGTATTACTTGGATTATATTTCTTGCTCCGTTTGCGTGGTGAAAAAAAAATGAAATAAAACCTAAATCGAGTCACCTGTAAGTTTTAGAGAGCAGATTTATTTTAATTTTTTTTTTACATTTAGAAACACTTGAATCGGGTTCGACTCGGAATTCGGAGTGGCGGCCCCGAGGCGAACTACACCACGTGAATGAATCTTATACGTTCGAATATATACGTTGATCAGCCGAGAACCCGTTATAAAACCACGACACCAATCATGTCTTATAGGTACGCGCGCGCGTATACTTACGTATATATATATATATATATATATATACTCTTCGAAATGAACATATATAATAATATGATGAAGAGAAAAATCACAAACACAGACACACATGCGCGTATGATTATTTACCGGTTTCCGTATCTAATATTTTATTCGTACTTATATAGTATATGTCTTATACGCGAGCGTGAAGTTTTCTGCTCCTTCTTTCATCCTGTACCGCCGAGCGTCGTATCCTGCACTCCGAGAAAAGATATTACGACCGCGGCGATGTTGCGTGTGGTCTTCGTGCTCACGCATTAGGGTTATCTAGCTAGCCGTCGTCGACCACGCGTCGCGGCATTATATTGTAATAATATAACATAGGACTTTTATACAATAAATGCGTTGTATGCGTTATAATATATGCTTAGTAGTATTAAACATAACATTTATTATAATATATAAGGATTCGCCGCTGGCAGAACGCGTTGTAAAAACGACGTGCGTATAATATAGCAAGTTGAGGAAGCCGTGAACCAAAAAGAACCGAAAATAATTTTATTTGTAAACTATGAAGAAAAAAACGGGACCGATCGCGGAGTCGGGGTCACGCACCTGAGAAAAAATCTCATCGCCACGACGGTATTCTAATACTTCACGTCGACAGGTTTTCGTTAACAAACCGAATGCGTTTCGGCTTTTCGGTTTAAAATGTTATCATCGCAAAAATGTGTTATAATATAATATTATACTCTTTAAGCGACGTACTATTATTGCTATCGTATCGCGTGCAATTCTTTTCAACATGGCTTTTGGTGGCCTTCTCGTATATATATTAAAAATTGCTTAAATATGTATACATACATATCTTATGGAGTCCTATATGTAGTTAATAATTACGTACAGCGCACGGGTCCGGTCGTTGAAGTCTCCGCAGCTACGTGTGCGCATAGACGTGAGCATAATATCGTTACCGTGTATGATATTGCGTCATTGATTTTGTTCATCGTGTTATTCAGTAAATAGTATAATGCAGGTGTTATACATACATTGATGTCGAATTGTTTTAGACTTATTTTCGAAACTATTACTCAACGCACGCTTTCACGTGAAGAAATTCAACTTAACATCCCCTCCACGGTGCACAATTATAAATGCATTGATTAATCATTAATGCAATGACAAAGCAAATCTTTCTCCTTTGATAAAAATATAAAAACACCTTACGTTATGAGGATTTCCACGAAACGAAATGATTCATAAAACATTTAATGCACTTAATTTAAATTATCTATACTTTTACTATTCGTTTGTTTTATTTAGTACGATTATATATACTATAGTTATTGTTACCTCGTTGATTTATAAATTATTTGGTCTAAAATATAATAAGTAGAACATTTTAGAATTAGAACGATATAATTAGGTTCTACGTATTAAATACTGATATGTTGTTGATAAAATTGTTTTGAACTGCAAGACATTTGTATTGATAATATGATTTTTTAAGTCGTTAAAAAACATAGCGTATATACAATTCAAATATCACTTTTTCATTGACTGATCAGCATACAGCTAATACTGCGTTACACATTAGATTGAAATTTCGGAGTCAGGGAATCCTCAGAGGGGAGGGTAAATAGGGCAGATGCATGCCCATGGCTTTTTTTTCTCTTTACATGTTTGTTATTTATTATTTATATCACACTAGGAAAATGCATAAAAGTACATTGTAAAATCATATGTAAAGTACACTCTCACATAAAATGATCTAGAGACGTCACTGTTTGAGAAAATTTACTTATTTATGTGTATAGGTATTGTTACACTGTTATATACATAAGAAAGGCGCTATTAAAAAATCGCATTTTTTAAGTTCAAAACAGTTATGGACTTGAGGTTGGAACATGTATTTTTTCACTTTTTGGTTACCTAAAAAATATTTTATTATGTTATATATATTTGTTTAAATAATTACCGATTTAGATATATGTAAATTAATAGTATAGTCAAATAATAAATGTCATTAAAATATATGGTAATGTGTGCTTTTTCGAAACAATAATTGCTCTAATCTACAATAGTAAAATATATCTTCAGTAAGGTTTGACAATTCGGCAGCTATTATAATAATAAAGGATTAATAGTTCGAATATTGATCGTGAAATAGCACTACAATAACACTAAATTTGATATAAATATTATTTTTCACCAGGATACATTGAGTTATGCGCTCCGCGATGAACATAAGACCGTCAAAAAGTCAATATCACAGCGCAACGACTAATAGCTGACTATCCAATAATATATCCACGTATTATAAATATTATACTGATCGTTTTCAAGTGACTAAATCGTTTCGTCACAAAGTCCCATCACCAATGTGTGTTGGGAACGAATAAATAAATAAATAAATACAGCCGAATCACAGCAATCAGTGTCGAATAACCCGACCACTGCTGTGATCGTATGACGATTCGAACTTGTTGCAATCAATAATATATCATAAATATTTATGCTACTAGCAAGATTGATAATATAACGACGTACAGGTAAAACGCGGTACGAAATTTTTGTGATTTCTGACGGTCTCAGGAGGAAAACGAGGGTTAAGGGATGAGGGACGATTTGTACACCTGCAGTGGAATAGCTACAGGTGTGTATGCAATGTCCACATAAAATACGTCGCCGCCCAGTCAACTGTACGCGGTGTATGTGCACGTATTCGCTTGCGCGACCAATGCCACAGACCGTGCGATGATGTCGAACGATAAATAGTTTTAAGAACGCGCGACCTACGTGACGCAACGTAATACGTATGAACTTCGATGTGCAGAACCGATTGTCGCATAATAATACCATAATGTATCACGCGTTCGCGTCGGAACGGTTTCGGAATGTTAAAACGCGTCTAAATGACGCGTGATGGTTATCGCGGCCAAGGGCCGGATCTCGTGATATGATACAGGAGAAAGGGACTAATTTGTGTTTACGGAAAGGTGAAATATATAAATCTAGTAAATACATATGTATATTAGTTATTATAATATATTTTAAAATTAATAAGTTTTTTTTAGTAATTTGACCAATCTTCAGTCAAAGACATAATTATTAAGTATTTGTTACATAATATATAACACGTGCGACAGAAGGGGCTAATGCCACTTAGCACACCTTTTGGATCCGTACCTAATCGCGGCCATATATCATGGTAATCAGTAACCACGATGGATTGACACCGTAACCCGTACCTCATGGTAGCGGAATGCAAGGGTCGATGTTTTGACACGTCCGTATCACCGGTGCCGTAACTACCCTCCGTGGCACCCTTGACCAATTTTGTTTAAGCGCTATTATTTCATAGAAAACACTAATTTTAATTTAACTCAAATGCGTTCCCTTACTGCGCCCTTGGAAACTTCCCATTTCACCAACCTCTAGTTACGGCACTGCATAGCATCGTGACATTGTCCGTTTCCGTCTACATTGCGGATGCACGACGTATGCACACATAGGTATAAAAAATAATTTCGTTTTTTTTTTTTTTTGTAGTTCAAAAAATGATGGTCTTAAATGATAATCAGCCTAGTCGCGTGACTAAAACCTACTCAAAAATAGAGGCAAATTAACGCGAATACGGTTCCTCATTTCATACTTTCAAGTTATACCACTAGCCGGAATACCGAACCTTTTTTTTTATTCGCAAATGTTTTCCTCGGTGGAATCGTTGAACAAGACTTCTTTTTAACGAATTTTGTATCGAAATCAAACTTTGCAGTGTACAGTTTAACGCTTTATGGGCATTTTAATGAACATAAATAATACGAAATAATACTTCAACGAACTGTTCGACAATAATAAAAATCCCACTTGAGATTTGCTGGTTGAAACGTAATACGTACACAAGTTAGATATCGATAAAAAGAGTGAAAATGTCCTCGAAACACGTCACTTCCATCCTCCCTCCCCGCTGGAGTTGTCTCCAGATACTTCGTACTGCAGTGCACGGCACTTTTATATGCCGGCAAATACGAGTATGTTTACTGAAACGTACATAGAGTAGCTATCCAGCGATACCTATAAGGATGCCTCAGCGGTGCATGCATGATGTGGACTTGTCGGCGGCGGTGGTGGTGGTGGCATTTCGTGGACGGTGAGGGGGCAGGTGGATGTCGAACGGTGATACGACCGGACGAAGTGCGCGCCTCTCGGTCCAGCGGCGGTCACAAACGTTTCGCGCGGTCCGCCGACAACAGACGTCACTCTCCTCGTCCGATCCGAAGTGCGTTCGAGTGCATCGCAGTGCGCGTGTTCAATCTATTAACACATACACACACACACGCACACACACACACACACACACACACACATATTCATTATTTTTGTGCGTATAGTTCACGTGTACACGGTAAATCGTACGTACGTGAACTACGCAAAAACTTGAGTGCACTTCCGGGACACGTCCAGCAGCTTCATTTCCGATCCAGTGGACTAGTTTTCAAGTGCCGTTCTTCAGCGTCCCTCCGAGTAGGGGTGAGAAAACATGTGCCTGCCGACCAGCGACGAGCGTCGTCGCCGACCTGACCTCTGCTAAGTCTCCGGCTCCTCATCCTCCTCTTACTCAGCTACCCCCCGATTCTTGCCGGGTTGTCCGAAGACACACACACGCACGTTGATTACATACGCAACTTTTCACGTCGTCCGCAGACCGTCCGCGTACCATGACCCGACCGACACCCATTGTGATGTTGCTGCAATTGCTGTTGTGTGCGGCAACGCTCAGATCCGATGCGGTGGTGGCCCAGGACACAGATTCTCTGGCCAGCAGCTTTTTCTCAGGTAACCTCAGATCTATATATATATATGTCAAACGTATCACGTCACGCTACTCCACAAGACTGTACATAGATTTTTTTCGGGACAGGGACGATCTAAAATATGTTTGGTAATTTTAATCGATAACGAATTGAACTTTTGGCTTTGGTCGAAAAGATAATTAAATAGTAAGATTTAAAATTTTATTTGGATTCGAAAACGACCGTTTATATTTTGAAATTATTAAATACCTATATTAAAGAATTAAATACCTAAAAGAATATTAAATACCACTTATTAAAGAAATTTAGACGAAGGGGGAACCGCGGACTCCATGGAACTCGACTCGGATACGAAGAGTATGTCCGATTCGAAAAACAGCCGTGCACGAAACAATTTATTACATCGAAAATGAATCGAAATATTGAGAAGACTCGATGAATCAGTAAAAGATAAATTATTTTAAAATCGCTGTAAGTCTATCGATACTACCGTAAATGTCCGATTCCTATTATATCAGAAAGCACGAGTTGTTGAACCGAGTATAAACGTACCTAGTATCAAAGTTCAAGTCACGAGTCCCACGAAGGTGTCAACGGAAATATGTTACACTGATCAGCTGAGGACGCGCCACGGTCGATATGGATAACAATAGTGCGGTCGCCGAGTTGCGCGTTATCTCGAACTTTAACGAGTCCTCCGGAACCGCTTCTCCGGTCGCGGCGACCGCTGAAATAATTGTTTTCGATTTATTTTATTCTTTCATTCCACTGCGACTGAACGCGACACGTGCATAATGATGCGTAATTATTAAAACGCTGTAATCGTCGTTATGCGTGTGCCGTGTGAGTAGCCGCGCCGGAACGAGGACACGAGCACCGCGCGAGCGCGCGCGACCAGACGTAACGGTACCCAGCCGACTCGAAACAATCGACGCGCTGCGCGTGCGCGTACGAGAGTGTAAGCGCGAGCCGGTGCGAACGACGTGAAGAAATCGTTTGACCCCGATCAGCCGCCGTACACGTCCTCGCGGTTGTCGTCGCAGTACTCACTCGTTAGCGATCGAAACGCGTCCTGACCCCCCCTCCTCTCCCCACCGGACGTTTTTTCACGCCCATTTTTGCACGTACACATTACCGATGCGGTGTCATTATCAAGGCACGCACCACCGCCGACCAGTGGAGCGACCTTGCCGGTTACTGAACCCGAGACCGTCCAAAGTCGCGCCGCCGCCCCCAAAATCGTCTTGTCCGAGTCCCGTCGCGATCCGTCGTAATCCGTACGGTATTTGAATATCGTTCGGCCGGGTTTATTCTAAGGATTCTTACCTACTGCTCAAACACACTGAAAAGTTTGTTTTACGATATTTATTTGAATCATAATAATTACCACCTCCCCAAATAAATGGTACATTTATATTTTAGAATTTTCACTGTCTCGTGGTAAAATATTAAAAAAAATAAATAAATACGAATCTTTTCCGTTATACGTATACCACTATTTAAATTACAATTGTATTGATTAATCAATCATCGAAGTAGTAAAGATTGTAAATTCACATAATTATTACTTATTAGGTATTAGGTTAGGGTTTATAAGTTACAAAAGTTTCAAATACTCAGTAGAAATTCAATAATTCTATAAGGAAAATTATGTTTTTGTAAAGTGTCCCTATTCTTAAAGTCAAGGGTTAGAATTAGACCCGTCGTCCGGTACGAATCGGTTTTCCACGTTTTCGTCAACGTCCGTTCCGGCCGACGATGCTTGTTGATTTCCATCGACCGTCGACTTCCGTTGTGATAGAAACACAATCGGGCGAATCCGTTTTCGACCAAACCCTTCCCTTTTCGGCCGATTCACTTTTTGATGAAAACAAAAATTTATATAATAAATTTAAAATAATAAAATAATGATATATAACAGCATTTCCTAAACTTTGGTCCGCGAACCCCTAAGGGTCCGCACGTATACCAGAAGGGGTCCGCGAATGTAAATTAAAAATACACAAAGTACCTATCCATAAAAACTAAAATACTGATATAATATTTGTATTATATGGGAAATATATTGTCGAATTAGTCGTCGTTGAAAAGTAGTTAAATTTAGAGGCAGACTGATCGCGTTGGTTTATCGTTATTTATTATAAAAATATCTGCATTTAGTTCAAAAAGTAAAGCAATCAATTTAGTATTATTTGATATTATCATTTTAATTTTTATTTGTATTAAGGGGTCGGCGATAATTTTTATTATCTTTAAGGGGTCCGGCAGAGAAACATTTTGGGAAACGCTAATATATAATGTTTGATTATGATGGAAACTACTACCTATAATATATTAATGACGATTCAGGGTTCTACTCGCGTAACGACGTTTTAGGTTTACATACAGAGTATAATCCCATTTGAAACAATATCAAGGTTTGTACAAAAACTAGGTTAGGTTTAGACTATAATTCCCCTTGGGGCGAAGCCCCAATCCCCCGAAAAGTGCCACTATGTGGCACTCGAGTTTATAATTGGAGCCGGCAGACATAACGAGCGAAGTCCTAACATTTTTAAAATTAAAATTACGATTTTTCGAAAAAAAAAATGCAAAAAATTTTCATTACAATAAGAGATCAAAAATAGACACATAACATCGTTCTCTTTTATATTAATATTTTAATAATTATTAACAAAAATTGTACATCATTATTTTATTATTTTAAATTTATTATATGCATTTTTGTTTTGTCGAAAAGGGAATCTTTTTAACCTACTTTAAATTTGGTCGAAAAGTGAATTGGTCGAAAGGGAAGGGTACGTTTTTGATTGAAATATAGCCATGCCCACACAATCGAGTCGAATTGAATTTTATACGCGATCGTTCGGAAACCATTTGTTTCGACTTATCACATTATTTCCACTGCACAGTTAAGATATATGACTGATTGTTAAACGTTTTATTTTTTGGTTTTATCACTGTTAAGTTTCATCCCGTCCAATCCGCTTGTTGCAACCCGATTTGACATCGTTTTCGCTTTCACGTACGTGAACATATTGCACGTAGCGTAAAACGCACTCCGAGTTGTCGAGAAAACCGAGACACGTACATTGAAACCACTACGTTTCTCGTTCACAACCATTGCACGGTTTCTGAACACGTGCAGGTATACCGATGGTGAACAATAAAATATCGTTTGGAGAAGCTCGTGCAATTATCAAAGTGCGATATCATAGCTTACGGGTTCAGACTGGGGTGTCGATTTTAATTCACTTAGAAACATCTGTTGTAAGTCTAGTGAACTCAGTAGCCGAATACTGCCCACCGGTAGGGCTGAATAGCGCATACACAAAAAATATTGATGTTCAACTCAATCGCTGCATACGAATCATAACTGACACATTAAAGTCCACTCCAATGGCTTCCGGTTATAAGCAATATATATAGCTCTTCCACACCTACGTCACAGAAATGCGCTGATCAAGGAATGGATAAAATGCAACTTCGATTTGAGTCTACCTATACACAATTTTGCAAAATCCCTTCAAAACTCTCCAAGACTTAAATCACATAATCCACCATGGAAATCTGACATCATACTTTACATCACGGACTTCAATATGAACGATACATGGAAAAACAAATGGGCAACTTCAAAATTGGATGAGAAAAATTAATTAAAATAACCTACAGACAAGTTTTCTGGACACAGTCTCCCCAGGATGGACTACACTAAATCGCATTCGTACAGGATATAGTAGATGTGGATACCTGATGCATAAATGGAACGCAGTGCCATCCTCGAACTGCGAATGCGACTACCCATACCAGACCATTTCGCATCTACTAACTGAAGCCCCATCAGGAAATTTAACGGTGAACTCGAAGATATGTTCAATGCATCCCCAAAAGCTATTGAATGGATCAAAAATCTTGACATTAAACTATAGCCATCTGCAAAAAACATATATTCATTTACATTGTTGTTATTTTTATTGTTATGCACATTACTATTGTTATACTTATTGTTTTGCTGATAAAGCCTTATTAAGGTTCTATTCTATTAATTGTTATAATTTTCATAAACAGTATTACTTGTTTTTTGTTTTTTCCATATGAATAAATAATAAATAAAAGTACGAGAAATAATGACATGCTACAAAACCTGAGTCCAAATGTCCCAATGCGGACAGAAAAACGGTAGTTACCCACTATTTGTACGTACGTGAGGGACCGATTTGAACATTTTATAAGTGCTACACGCCTCAATCTCATTGTGGACACCAGTTCGCATAACAGTTTTCGGGAACTTTAGTCGACATATCTGATCTAAAATGAAATAAATTCGTGATTAACACACGGTCATAAAATATGTATATGTGGTCACGTACGTGTGGACGATTAGACAACGGGCGTAAGTAGTCTCTATCATATATTGTTTGAATTATCAAATCAAAACGTAATAATAAAAAAAATACCCGAGTTCACGAGTTTCTATCATAAACTATCATAGACACAATTTTAATTTGCCGGGTGCAACCAAATTCGCCATTTGCAGACCCATTGTGTTAATTTTTTACATCTTACAAGATTTGTTTATCTCGGCTTACGTATAAAAATAATTGTATTATTAATTACTTACTCCTATCTTGACTGCCGAGAGGGAGTTTTCTTTATAAAAAATAAATATTGAACAGTTTGATGGTAAATAAATAAATGAGCAATTAGAAAATACACGTTCGATAATTAGAAGTATATATATGTAGGATTTTCCTGTACGTATTATTGAATTTATATAATATTTTCGACTGTTGAGCAATTCATATATTATATAAATATAAGAAATACGTTGTAGGATATTAGAGAATGAGAGGGAGAGAGAGATAGTGACTTAATTACCTATATATTATTCTTAATAGGTGCGTACGACTCCGGGAAAAAACTATAACGGTTCTTGGCGGGTACAATATATAATAACGATTGAAACACGTATCATCTGTGTATACGGGTTGCGAAAGGACGAAATCTGCGGTTTGAAAC